GGTATGTTTGGAGCTAAGAAAGAATACTTTCCCAAAAAACGAGTATTGTGGAGAACAGAGAAACTAGTGAACGCGTATGTTTGGAGTGAAGAAAGAGTACTTTCCCAGGAAATGAGTATTGTGGAGAACAGAGAAACTAGTAAACGGGTATGTTTGGAGCGAAGAAAGAGCCTGAGTACTTTCCCAGTAAACGAGTATTGTGGAGAACAAAAAAAACTAGTAAACGGGTATGTTTGGAGCGAAGAAAGAGTACTTTCCCAATAAACGAGTATTGTGGAGAACAAAGAAACTAGTAAACGGGTATGTTTGGAGCGAAGAAATAGTACTTTCCCAGTAAACGGGTATTGTGGAGAACAAAGAAATAGTAAACGAGTACTGTTTGGAGCTAAGAAAGAGTTCTTTCCCAGTAAATGCCGAACAAAAAAACGTCCGCCTGGTCGACAAGGAGGGTTTTCCGTAGCTCTATCGAGGTTTGTGTTTCCATCCAAATTTTGGAAAAAATACTCCATGAATTGAAAAAAATAAACACTTGTATTGTAGCAATGTACGTATAGAATACTGTCCCCGACAGGCAGACAATAGTCAGGGAGAAGTCCTTCATTTCCTCGGTCTGTGGTCCTCGGAGTTTTAGCAAACACTATACGGTTTATATATGTAAACTCCTTGTCTATCCATACAATCGCGTGAATGTTTCTAATATTTTCAGAACACAAATTAGATTTCACACTCCGCATATGTTGACATATACTAGAACACTGTCTAATAATAATATTTAACGGCATTATTTCATGGCTACGAGTGATGGCATTAGCAGCATGAATCAGCAAACTTAATTGAAGTAGACTGTTTATACAATTTGCTTGATAATTTGCAATTTGTACTGATGATTGGCAATTTGTACTGATGATTTGCAGTTTGTACTGATGATTGGCAATTTGTACTGATGATTTGCAATTTGTACTGATCATTTCTTTTTTCAATATCTTTATTATAACATTGGTTGCACATATTTCTGCAATATTCTTGATGTATTGTAGTTATGTGTATTAAAGAGATTACATGACCGTGTATTGTAGTCTGGGATATTAGTCATATTATTAATTGTGTTATAAAGTTTGCCATTAACTCTTGCTTTTAACATTTTATAAAACAGACCTGCTCTCCAAACACTATCAAAACATTTTCAAAGTCTACGAAACAGATATAAAATTGTTCTTTTTAAGGTATTTTTTGAACAAATGTTAACAAACATGAATTTGATATGTTGTTCGAATTTTTTGCGAAAAACCTGCGTAGTCAATATTGCATCACGTATGTCTAACTTACAACATAGTGGAACGCATTAAATTATTGGCCGAATAACACAATTCATGTAAATGTGTAGCACTGGGGTTGAAAAAACTATCACTTCGAAAACTTCGGTCTTCCTTGTATCTATTCTTCTTTTCCATGTCTATATCTTGTGACAAGGGATTCATTAACGCGTTGTGGCTGTGAATGCCATGTTATGGCGCCTATTATCTTGCTGTTTTTGCTGAGGATATAAATTCTTACAGATTTTACTGAAGAGTGAACTGCAGATACTTTTACGTAAGGTATTTGCATTACAATATCGCGTGCAAGTACCTGTGGAGCGCCATGTGCCAACATCACAACTTTCCACATCATCCTAGTATCTGGTGATATCCACACCAATATGATACTACCCAATAACTCAGCTCGGGATAACAGACCTCTTAATTACGATCATGTAGAGAGTGGATAAAGAAATTTGTTACGGTACGTTTCGTGGTTGAAATCGTTTACTTGAACTGTCTTATGACTGTAACGAGTTTTGGCGTGACATGCCAGGTTAATCAATGGGTGGTGGTGTAGGCATCGATGTCACCAATGCCCTTGAGCAAAACATATAATCATGCAAAATGTGAGCTGATATAGGTTAAAATTAAACTAAAATCCAACTATTTATTGGCTGGGGCGTATTATAGGCCGCCATCTACGATATGTATTCACCATCTTTCTGAACTTGTGTTAACTACGGACGAGGTTGAAAAACTGGATACTTGTATTTCATCTTGGGTGATTTTGATATACCGAATGTTGTATGGACCTCTCCGTGGGTTCCAGCCTACGTAAAGCGTAATGTTAATGAGTACATTTATCCTTGATGAAGTTGCGTGACCACTCCATTATCTTTGACAGTAGGCGATTCCTTGGTATCATCAAAAGATTTGTTAGTTGTATCATAAAAGTACGCCCCTACTGTAAAGATTATTGGTAATATATATTTCATGATAGAATTGAGGCTGTACAGCGGAATATTATAAGATATATTTTCTAAAATAATTTGACGTATGGCGATATTTTATCAAATAGACGCAGATATTTCGTTTCTTTTCAAATCTAGTAAATGCTTTTTATGATTCTCACCATTTCTTTGACCTGTATGTCCCAGTGAAGTCAGCGCGGCTTATTAGGTCGTTCTACTAACATGGAAGCAGAGTAAAATATTTCACTGGTTGTTTTAACAGATACATGAAGAAAGTCCGTTTTCGTTTTTAAATGTTTTATATTTAATTATGACACTTGCAAGTTGTAAGTATTATATCGCTGACATCACTAAAACC